CCCCTCCGTCCCTCTCTCTCTTGTTCTTTTTCAATAGACCAATGCTTCCTTCTTACCGCGAGCTCCCTTTGGGTAGATCAATAACAGAAGTCAGTTACTTTTATTCTCTCTTCTTTCCATTTTAACTCCTTCTCCTTCTTAAATTTTTATCTTCAACATTGTCCTGGTCTGTCTCTTTCGTCATCCTGCTGGTTAATTAAACTGAGATCAGCAACTTACAGTAGCAACACAACACAGCCACAACAACAATGGCGGCAACTCTACTGCCATAACATAACCTAAAAAACCCCACCAACAGCACAACGTCATTAGTGTCAAATCCACGGTCATCATCATCATCACGACGACTACCACAACCACATTCACCACCACCACAACCACATTCACCACCACCATTACCCCCACCACCACCACCATCACCACCACCATGACCACGACCACCACAACCACCATCACCACCGCCACCACAACCACCATCACCACCACTACCGCCACCAAGAAAAATAAAAATAATAACACCACTACAACTAAAATCAACAACAGCAACAGCAACAACAATACGAACAATAAAAATAAAACACCACCACCACTAAAACCAAAACACAACAATAACAGCAGCACTACGCACAATACAAACAATAACACCACCATCACCACCCCCCCACCCCACCCACACAAAGAAACAACAACACTGAGAACAATAATAACACCACCAACCCAAAACAACAACAACATCAGCAACAACAACAACAACAACAACAACAACAACAACAACAACAACAACACTACGAACAATACAAAGAACAACACCATCCCCGTCACCAAAAAAACCCAACAACAACAGCATCAACAAAAATAACGCCATTAGCAGCACCACCAGCAGCAATAGTATCACCACCAACACTAACGTTCTTTCGTTGTATGTCTCAGCAGGTCCCCACAACCGTTGGTCAAGCGGACCGAGTGACTGACCACAACTCTGCCACCATGACGAGCACTCTGGAGGAACTGAAGACTGACCTGGACAGGTTTTTCCTGGTGGTCATGGGCATGATCGTCTACCGTGAGTACTGTATCTATGGCGTGTGGATGTGTGCGTGTGTGTGTGTGTGTGTGTGTGTGTGTGTGTGTGTGTGTGCGCGTGCGGGAGGGTGAGCGAGTATTTGTTTGTTTGTATGTGTGTGAGTGTGTTCGTGTGTTTGTGAGTGTGTGTGTGTTT